TTGAGTGGAACAGATGACGAGGTATTTGGGGTCGATGCGGCCGAGGTTGAAGATGGCGAGGGCGAGGGGGTCGGGTCGGTTGGCGAAAATAGCAACAGTGTGTTGGCTGTGATGTCGGCGGTGAAAGAGGAGTTTGACGAAAAGTTCAAAAACATCTGGGCGTAGTAGGTACATACAACTCACGAGCCTCCTCGCTGCCGACGCCCATCTCCACCACACAAGCCTTCAATCCCAGGCCCCGCATCCTCTCGACCACTTGTCCGACTTTCTCAAATTCTGTCCAGCTGAGCGGACTCGATGTGTCCGTGTCCGTGTTCGAAGTAGGCTCCAGAAACCGCAGGCGCAATGCAAGCCACTGCATCGCCTTGGTCTTGACAAACTCCTCCACACCCGACTGTTTGTCTTGCGCATAGATCGTCGACCTTCGCAAAGCCGGAGATAGAGAGCGTTTTGGGATCAAGAAGTATGCCGAATGAAAAACTCTCATCTTTTATTATTTCTATTTCCGGCGCAAAACGGCGTTCATTTGTAGTTGAAAGAGACTGAAAAAAAGATGATTTTCTCTTTTCAAATTCTTTGTGAAGATATGAGAAGTCTATTCCTCCGCACGTTTGATGAATTAAGTGTCGATTTTTATTATCTTTTCTTTCTTCTGCAAAATCGAAAGTACTCGTAGATTGTCGTGTGGTTTTGCGCGGGACCAATAGGTTCCCCTGAAATGACTAGGACAATTTGAGCTGGGTGAAAATATCACATGGCATCTGATTCTAGATCGAAACATCCTTGACAGCCTTCCACTGGTGTCCTGGCCACAGCGCGTTTCCGCTCTTGGAGGCCTCTTCGTCAGAAACACCTTTGACGCCGTGGCCAGTGGTCCCGAAACCCTGGTCAGCCATGTTCATCAGGAACACCTTGAAGTCAGCCATCTCCCCTTGCATTGTCTCGACCGTTTCAACCTCCGCACCCAAGAGCGACCCGAGGGACCGATAGCCTGGGATGCGGTCGCCTTCGATACGCAGTGTCTGGTTCTCGAGGGCAGAGGGAGGCTGGTGAATAAGGATGTGTGCGAGATAGCCTTGGAGGGGGCTGTTAACGCTCTGATCACCGACCAACCAGTCAGAACGCACCAGCGATATCTGCGATAGAGGTGGCAGAGACAGGACCTTCCGATTTACCGACCACGTACAACTTCTTGGCCTCGGCGTTGTAGTTCACGACTCCGGTCACGTATTCGAGGAACAATCCGCTCTGCTTTCCCTCAGCACCCAGTCAATGCAAGACCATATGAGCCCTTACAAAGATGCGAAGATACGGGACGCCCACGCTCTGGAGCTTTCCTGAATGTGTTGATGGATGAGCGAGGAGCGAGGTTCGAGTATGAGCTGGATGGACCTATGATCTTGTTCTTCTCCCCGAATGGACCGTCCGTGCGTCCTTCTGTCACGGTACCGAACTCAGATGGCACGAACAGCTTGATACCGGCTTGCTTCGCCGCATCTACCAGAGGTGACTGCGCAGCAATGGCTCCCGTAGTCAGTGTGGACACGATCACTTCGACGTTGTGCGCCTTGAGTGCGGTGGCGACGGCGGCGACATCCTCGTACGATGAGACTTGGACGACCTGGACATTCTCCGGAACCGTCTTGGACGCGCTGCGGGAGAGGAGGAGGACTTTCGCCGAAGGCTGGGCGGCGAGGGCAGCTACGATGGGACTTCCGAGAGTGCCAGCACCGATCACTGCGAACGAGGAGTAGGAAGACATCAGTCGATGGGTTGAGTCTGAAGGAGATGGTGCGGTTGGTTAGGTGAATTCACTTCTCCTTCCCCTCTTAACCTCACCTTTAATACCTCCGCCGCGAGGCGGACAATGTCAACATGGTTGGGAAGTGGATAATGAACTGGCCGATCGCGCATAGATGGATGATACCATGCAGGGATTGTATTTCTTGGAAGTTTTCACGTCATTGCGATGACAAAAGTCCCTCTCCTCCTGGACCTTGCGTCTCAATTGCGCTACCAACGAGTCAGTTCCCTTGCAGAGAACTGATATTCTGAATCCTCCTATGGAATTTGCTTGGAGTTCTATGTATCTCGTACTCTTACCATTCAATATTCAATACCGACCACCAGATATTGATGCGAAGTGATGATATACTGGCACTAAGTCGTTTGATCTCTTCCTCGCTAACCGGGCCGTCCAGACGTTCGGCCGGCCGACTTCGTGCGTATGAACAAGCGTATTGTCATTTGTGCGTTGTCTATAGCTTCGTCCAGGCAACGAATGCGGCATCGCTCAATTTGTACGTGGAACTACGCAACAAAGGCTAATGATCATATTCAGTTCAAAAATCTCCTTTGCTGCCGACGCCCATCTCTACCACGAATGCCTCGAGTCCCAGGCCCCGCATCCTCTCGACCACTTGCCCGACCTTCTCGAACTCTGTCCAGCCGAGCGCACTCGACGTGTACGTGTCCGTGTCCATGTCCGGAATGGGCTCTAGAAACCGCAGACGCAACGCAAGCCACTGCATCGCCTTGACATTCTCGACAAACTCCTCCACGTTCGACTGCTCGCCCTGCGCGTAGATCACACCCGGATATCCGACCTTCGCAAAGCCGTAGATGGAGAGCTCATGGGACCACTGCTGGAGCGAGCGTCGCTTCTTGGATGAGATCAGGTGGTGCGAGGTGAAGAGGGCATGGAAGCGAGGGCTTGGTGGGGCCGAATCTGCGGGTGGCAAAGGAGAAGAAGATGTTGGCGTGTCAGAGTCGCCCAGCCGAGCATGCAGCAAAGGGAGCAGGTGTATGCATAATAGCTGGTACACAGGGAATCTTGTGGGGCGATAGAGGTTTAGCGGATAACCCAAGAAAGAAGACAGCTGATCTCACTCGGATGCGAGGATCTCATCCTCGTTCTCCCGCGCAACTCCCAACCAGTGCTCCTGTTCAGCGCGCGATATGCCTTCACCCTTCACTGCCAGCAACGGCACCTTGCTGCCAGCCGGGTCTGGGAAGCGCACTTGGAACCAGACGGGCGAACGGTCTGGCTTGATTTGGATATGTGGAGGGCTCGAAGGCGCCGGGCCAACGGAGTCTATGGGGTTGCCGTCGACACTCTCCAGAAGCTGGCGCCACTCGTCCGCTGCATCGTCTATAAACGAGAGGATTTCATGTGGAAGAAGCGTGAACTGCAGCAGTTGGAGCTCCGCAAGCACGTTCATGAATGGTCATGTTCAGACTTGAGCTTTGTCCGTGCTTGGCCTCCCGCTTCTCCCTTGGTATCGGAGCGCTGCCTCTGTCTGAGGATCGCGTGTTTGCGAGTCAAAACACGGCCGACGAATCGTCAATTGCGGTGTAACGTCCAAAAGAGTAGTCCGATGTAGGAAGGCGGTGGTCCCCCACTCTGTGCGACAGATGTGAGAAGGGTGCTGCGCTAGACCTAGCACTACAGCTAGTTGTGCTAACTTTGTGTGGGGAAGGACGATGCCGTGAGCCGAAGCGGCTCAAGATGCGCTCGATGATGGTGACGCGCCAAGCTCTCGTTGTTCGTCCCGGCTCCCGGCCCCGCACTTCCACGATGCGGAGCACTGCTTTTGGTCCTCGTGCGTCGAGCCTAAACCTTGCGCCTCCTTGCGCCCGCTCTTTTGAATGTCATAATGTCACATTGCTATCGTTGGACTCGGGTATCATACATACAGAAAGTCAGAAACCATCTAAGCAGTCATTTCGATCGCGGCAATCCCACTCAGAACTTGGTCCGCGCGCAACCACCGGTCGTCGCTTACACTTCCGTCTCTTCTCGGGATCCTTGAGCGGAGACGGCGGATGTGGCAGGAAGGACAATCGGGGATGGAGTGGATCTGCCACGGCAGCGCGCTCAGGCTTATGGTGCGCTGGTTGGGGCGAGAACGGGGGAGAAGCCAGCTCCTCCGAGCTCTCGTCGGTGGTTTCACAGGACAGGTCGGGGACGGACGATGAGGGCGGAACGGATATTTCCAGCTCGCAGACTTCGAAGGCACGGGGGTGGAAGTAGCTTCCCTTGGTGGACGCGCACGCCGGGGGCGCAGGATGTGTGTGGGTATGGGATCGGGACCGCGAGGCGTAGAGCACACGTCCGCCACGTTCAGGCAACGCGCACGAGTTCGCGGACACCTCGATGGGCGCGCGGTCGTATGAGTCGGAGGAGTAGGTGTTTCCCATCGATGCGAGGCGGGGAGTCGACGGGAAGCGGACATGGGGAGATATCAGCAACGCCCGGGAGCATGCTGCGAATGGAAGAGGACTGGAGGTGGTTATATCGATCTTGAGAAACTCGGGGCGGGGGGCAGCCTTGAGTATTGGCCGCGGGGAATTCATTGAGGGGCTTGGACTTGCGGCAAGTCCGACTGCTTAAAAGCTGTCAGTTGGATCATGGAGCTATAAACGTCGACTAACGCTTGGGCCACGCAGTAAAAGGGCCGGATGGGCAGAGCGAGACCGCCGGAGCCGTAAGCACAGCCCCGGGCTGTCTATGGTCCTGAGCCGTTCCCTGCCGTTTCCATGATGACCAGCGATAAGTCCTTGGAGTGGGACGGAACCGGACGGAGGCACATTTTTGACCGTTAGGGGCTTGGAGTCTCGTGCGGAGGATTCTTCCAAAAATAGAAAGATGACGTTCTTCTCGTGATCGGCCGGCGGCACTCAATCAGACTCAATCAGATCGATGCAAAATCGATGCCAAGTTCTCAGCCCCCCCATGGGGTTCCTCAGCGTTTTTGGCGCTCAAGATACTTGCTCAGACGGCCAGAGCACTCGCTTGCAGCAGGATCGGAACTTTTCCGGAAACGTGTACATCGATAGAGCTCTTGTCGTGGAGCCGCCAATTCGCCGGGACGGAACTGCATGGATCGGATAACCCTCGGCACGTACCTGCTATTGTTGAGGCGCCGAAAGCTGAAGACACGGCTCCCGTTTGTTGGCTAAACATTGCGGACACGGCCTTACGCATTGCCTCGGGGAGTCCGACGTCCGCAGTCAAGTAGATGCGCATGTCGTAAATGCGGAATGTCGGACGCAGGAGCTCGCCACCCGACCGAGGACTTGTGAGGCTGTCAGTCATAAGTCCAGTGCAACACCTCGCGCATCCAGTGGGATTTCGAGCTTCGACACACCCGTGCCCGGGAATGGAAGACTTGCGGCAGCGGACGAGGAACTTCTTGTAATGTGTGATCTCGACAGACAGCAGGAAGATCTTTGTCCCAACATGCATGGATCTCACAAGATATCAAGAACGTTGGAATTCACCACCGCCCCTCAGATTCTCTCTGATTTTGTGTGCTCACAGCGCAAAACATGCACGATTGTGAGCAGAGTGACCCTCATCTTCTCCCACGTGGTTTGGGGATGATCAACAACACACGGCACTGCCACCGCTCGCTTGCTCACGACTTTTTACCTCCGACTTCCATAGCACAAGCGTGCCACCCACACCGGGATGGAGGGGCACGCGTCCACGAACTCCTACGACGCGCCACCAGGGCTCTTTCGTCTGCCCGGGCTGCCTCTGAACCTATCAGCCGCCGGCGCACGTCTCGATCATCACCCAGCGCCGGGTTTGGACGGCCAAACGGACGCGGAGAACGTTGATCAGCCTGCCCTGCATGACACGAGTATGAACACGCACACCTCCCACACCCAGTCCCAGACGCAGTACATCTCCCAGCGCCCGTTCGACATCTCGATACATAACGATGATCGGGAGTCGTGCTTTGGGCTGCTCATACCGAGTGTCAAGGGGATCTCAAGCGTCAAGCTCCTGCGCGCATCGCCTCAGTTTAGGGTGGGACGGGATCCCGATGCGAATCACCTTTACATCCCGTGGACTGCGATCAGTGTGTGGTTCCTCGCTCCGACTGTGGCAGCTAGCACGCGTCGTCCTGACTGCAACCAGGTAGCTCGCACGCGGCGATTGACTGGAACGGGGGGGTCGTTGAGTCGGAGGTCACAATCCGAGATTTGGGGTCGGTCAATGGAACCTTTGTACGCACAGGTTTCACAAACCTCCATTTTCCCATTGACAAATGGATCTCCGCAGGTGGAAGGCCAGCGTCTCCCCCCCGGCGAATCCCGTTGGCTCACAGACGGCTCGAGAGTCAGTTTCGGCCCAGTCCGGCCCAAAGGAACCCTCCTCCTTCCCGAATATAGTGCGCTCTTCATCTCGTGCATGGATGTCAGCCACAATTTCTGCAGCCTACACGTACCGCGACCTGATCTCCGATCCGCGTGAGCTCTACACAAAGTATGATGTGTCAATCGAACTCGGGTACGGCGGTTATTCGCGGGTGTACAAAGCACTGCAACGGTCATCAGGGAGAACTGTGGCTGTCAAGGTCATCAATGCGGTGCGGAGACATTCCTCGCTTTATACAACTGTTTCGCCGTCACTGATCCTACATAATCAGGTGAAGCGCCATAATCTTGCGGCCGAAGGCGAGCTGCGCGAGATCACGATCATCAGGGCGCTGCGACATCCCAATATATGTCGGTTTTTGGACTACTTCGAAAACAAGGACCAAAGCGTCGGTGCGTTCATAGCATTCGCAAGCTGGGCAGAAACTCAGTCTCGCAGACATCGTGATGGAGTATGTCAGCGGCGGGGATCTATGGCGGTTGATATATGAGAACCAGGGTCTCTGTGCGTTTCTTCTAGAACTCTGAGCCTGGAAGACTCTGAAACAGGTCGCAGCGACCAACGAAGCTTGCCATATCATGTATCAGATATGCCAAGGCGTCGCATATCTGCACTCCCGGGATATCACACATCGGGATCTGAAGCCCGAGGTGCGCGCAGTCTCGCTCAGCGGGTTTAGTTGACACTACGCCATAGAACATTCTCCTTACGGATCAGCGTCCGCCCATCGTCAAGATCGCCGATTTCGGATTGTCGAAGAAGGCCGGCGAGGGGGTTCAGCTGAATGTAGGATCCTCGATTCTTCTATCCAAGACGAATTCTCATGGAAATGTACAGTCGCAAGTCGGGACACCGATGTATATGGCTCCAGAAGTCTTGCTGCGCCGAGATGTCCACCCGTACACAAAGAGCGTCGATCTTTGGAGTCTTGGAGGTATCACCTTCACCATGTGCGTAGTCACTCGTTTGCGTGCGCAGAGATTGACCATGGCAGGCTCACGGCACGGACTCTCTTTCCTTTCAACGCGGAAACAGCGGACATCATGAAGATCATGCAAACGGGAGACTTGGGATGGGAAGACGATTTTGAGCAGTTCAGAAAGACGAAGCGGAGGAGAAGGCAGGGCAGAGGAAGGGAGCACAGCGATGGTTACAGTGATCGTGCGTGTCTGTTCTGCCGCGTCCTCCCCGATTCCTCACGACGGTACAGCCAAAGACTTCATCAAGGGTCTCCTCGTCTTCGACCCCACACTGCGGATGACGCTGGACGCGGCGCAGCAGCATCCGTGGCTGGCCAAGCACAGCCCCGTGTACGAAAGTGCGTACCCGGAAGACGAGGACAGCCAGAGACGGGAATCATTCGCATCCAGTCAAGGACGCTACCAGCGCAGCAGCCAGGGCTCAGACTATCCGCCCCGGATGAAGCGTGCGAAAACCGTGGACCCCTATGCAGACGAGCAACCGGAGCCTGTTTCTGCTCAGCAAAACGGGCATGGGCGATGGGCTGGGAAGATCAACGCCACGGCGATGGTGGGTGTTCCGTTCACTGCCGACAATCACGACCTGTCTTCCTCGGGGCCTGTGCTTGCGGACGACAAGGTGGGCCACGGGCCGTCTCCGGTGGTCCCATCATCGACCGTGATACGGGAGGAGGACGCATTTATGTACGGGAACGATGTCGATGCTGGGCCATCCGCTCTCCCTCAAAAGAACTTGAAACGGCAGCGTGAGGAGATGGACGAGCTGAGCGAGCTTACCCCATCGCCGTCCCCTCCGCCTCCACCCTTCCCGTCCAACCGTCGCGTCACGCGTGGCATGGACAAGGGCAAAGCCGCTGCGCTGGCCACAGGCACCGGCAAGACAGCCAAGGGGAAAGTCAAGGCGCCAGTCGACGACGACAGCAAGGAGGACAAGCCGCCTCCGAGGAAGAAAACAGCGAGAGAAGCCAAAGCTCCGGCAAAACCCAAGACGAAGGCCCCCGCTCGAGGGAGGAAGAAGGCCGTTGTCGACGAGGGTTCATTGAATCTTGTGACGGTGGCTGTTCCCGCTCGAAGACGAGGGCGGAATGTTGCTGCTCCAGCACGGGAACCGGAGGCGGCTATTCAAGAGATTGAACCCGCTAGAGAAGGGCCCGCAGAAAATGATGCGACTGATGACAAGCCAAGTTTGCGGCCGGCTCGTACGACAAGGGCTGTGAAGGGAAGGGGGAAGAAATGATCTACATCTATGTACTTGAAAGGGACGAGAAAGGGAGGGAAGGAATATTGTATCGGAGATCTTTTTACATCTGCTGTCTTACTGCTTTTGTTTGCTTTGCTCATCTATGTATATATGCTGTGAGCTTTCATATGTATGATCCACGAAACGTTGGACTTGACAACCCAAGTATGTGAAGAATGATATTTGTGAGGTCGACTGAAGTATGGATTTGCATTATCCGTAATGGTGTCGGTACAGTGTATGCGCTATACGTTGGCTGCTCGAGGTTTCGTGCAGACAATCTCACCGTGCATCAACCCAAACCACGCATCGGGCTGCGAGCCCCAAGCCTTCCAAGCGTCAGAGACAGTCTTGAGCCCATCCTCATCCAAAAGTCCGCGTTCGATCGCCCCGGAGGCAAAGCCCGAGTGCAGAACACGATCAGACCACAGCGAGCTCCACCACGCCACATCCTCAGGCGTGCTGTAGCACCAGGTGCTCGCCGTATTGACAATCTGCTCCCTCGCGAATCCAGCACGGAGCGCCCACGAGAACAGCCGCCGGCCCGCATCCGGCTCGCCTCCATTCGCACGCGCAAGCCGGCGGTACGTGCGGTGGGACAGATCCATGCCCTCGCTCTCGGGGAACCACGCAAACGAGGCAAAGTCGACATCGCGCGCGGCGACGAGCCCACCCGGCTTCGCGACGCGCGCCATTTCGCGCAGCGCGCGGACCGGGTCCGAGACGTGCTGCAGCACCTGGTGCGCGTGCACCACGTCAAACGTCGCGTCGGGGTACGCGAGTGCGAGCGCGTCGCCGAGCTCGAAGGTCACGTTGGCCGCTACGCCCTGCGACGCTGCGTGCGCGCGGGCGCTCTCGAGCACAGACTCGGAGGAGACCTCGATCCCGGTGACGTGCCCGTTGGGGACGAGAGCGGCGAGGTCGGCGGTGATCGTCCCCGGGCCACAGCCGACGTCGAGGATGTGCATGTCTGGTTTGAGGAGGGGGAGCAGGTAGGCGCACGAGTTTTGGGCAGTGCGCCAGGAGTGGGAGCGCAGCACCGATTCATGGTGGCCATGGGTGTATTTCTTGTCTGTCATCCTGGTTGTGAGTGGGTATAAGTGGGAGGAGGAGGTGTGAGCATCTTATAAGTCGGGAGTCAAGATGGAACTCCGAAATCTAAATGAGCTTCGTCGGACTTCGGAGTTCCGATCTGGTGCATGACTCGGAGTCACCTCATAGCCGCCGGTTCTGCTTGAGCAATGTGACTCTAAGCTCCCAACGCAGCAGTCGTTTTGAATGCCTAAGTAATTGCATCTATCTCGCCGCCGAAGAACCGATATATGATTTGCCTTTGCTTGCTTCTCTAATCCTCAACATCCCAAGTTCATCGATCGCGGTCCCGACCCCACCTGCACGCAGTCGGCACTTGGATTGTTTCAACCTCCTCAAACTACACGCGCTGATAAACGGAAACATTCATCATTTAGATAATAAGTCTACGATATGTCACTCCAAAACTACGCTTTTACACAACGAGGACAGCGCGGTATCTGACCTTACCGTCCCTCAGCCGAGCCATGCCCTCCTCGACACCCTCCTTCGTCATCGAAAACTTCTCAATCATCGGCTCGATGTGGTTGCGCGCGGCAAAGTCGAGCATACGGCGATGGACAGAGCGGGCGGCAATAGCCGAGCCCTGGATGTTGATTCCACCCATGATGAGGGGAAGACTAGGGAAGGACAAGTCGTCCTGGCTGACCGTCAGCGGGTAGATCGTGCCCTTGGGCTTCATCACAGTCATATACGGGGCCCACGAAGGGATGAAGCTGGTCGTCACGATCAGGTGGTCGAGCGGCCGCACATTCTCGAACTGCGTCACGCCTTTCGTCGCGTGAAACTCCGACGCGCCCAGTTGCGCAGCCTCCTCCCGCTTCGAGTCGGAGCTCGAGAACACGACGACCTCCGCGCCCATCTTCGCCGCGAACATGACGGCCAGGTGGCCCAGCCCGCCGATCCCGGCGACGCCGACGCGCTGCGTGGGCCGGATGTTGTAGCTCTCGATGACCTCAAACACCGTCGCGCCGCCACACATCAGGGGAGCGGCGTGCTCCGGAGCGAGGTTGGCCGGGACGCGGAACAGGAACGTCTCCTCCCAGACGGCGTGCGTGCCGAAGGAGCCCTGGTCGAAGCTGTGCGTGCCGTACATCTCGCGGTCCGTGCAGTACTGGTCCCGGCCTAGATTCCAGCAAGCGATTCAGCTCTGGTTCGAGTACAATCTGGAGCAGACAGACGGACCCTGGAGACACTGCTCGCATTTGCCGCAGGTCTTGTGCGTGTAGCCCCACCCGACGACGTCACCCACGCACAGCGACGATACGGCCGATCCGATTTTCTCGACGACACCGACACCCTCGTGACCGAGCGCCATGTCGGCGTGCTTAAAGTGCTCGTCGGTGCCGCAGATGCCAGAATGTGTGATGCGGACCAGGACTTGGATCCCGGTCGGCTCGGGGCGCGAGGTCGTGGCTTGGACGATGCCATCGGCTTTCGAGCCCTTGAAGACGGTGAATTCGACGCTCATGTTGATGTTGGTGGTGAGGGAGATGGGGGAGACAGTTATTGCTCAGCTCCATGCAAACGTTGGTGCGTTTTATATTGCACCTCATAGATAGGCCGATTGCAAGCGAATGTTTTGCCGGGGTCGTTGCTGAACGAGCAATCCAAAAAACGCAGGCGGCGGCCGACTCCCCGGCCATTAAACCAGCCGGAGTCTCCTTGCATGATGTCAGCAGCCAAGAAAGGTTTCTGAAGATCTTCATGATGACGTTATGCGCAAACCATGTCACGTGTCTTGATGTGAGATTTGAACCGATTCATGGAGCTCAAATTGGAAGGCAGAAAAACCGTTGAGTAAAAGGCAAGCAACTTGCATAACCATATATTATGAGAATTATTAAGGCTTCGAGAGCTATAGCATAATGTAATCTACATAAAAACGCAAACTAGCAATCTAACAGTCACAACTCAACTGTAGCCAAATGCCGTTCTGACAAACAAACATTCGAAATTCAACAACACAGGCCGAGCTTCCGAGATCGACCATACTCACGAACGCAAAGGCTTTTTTGACCCAACACCTGCATGGCCCGCCGCGCGGCTTCTCGGGCCGAATTCTGCACCAACAGGAATGTGGCCGAATCGAGAAAACGGATGAACCCTTGGAGGAGGGTCTGCAGAGCGGCGCGTGTGAGTGGCTAGCAGCTGCGCGGGAAGTCATTGCTTACGCCGAAGATGGGATCCACGTATTCCCAGGATCCCGCATGCGCCGTCACTATCTCCAAATTCGCACGGACTGTCGAGACGGACTGCGCGCACATGTGCTGCGCGTCTGCCGCAGTCAAAGCATACGAATTGAGCAGCTGGAGAATGGCGCAGTCGATCATCAGGTGCGTGAGCAGCGACATTTGTACCGTTGGAGAGGCGGTCTCGATGTCCGGGAGATAGCGACGGAAGGTGACCATGCGCTGAGAGAGGATGAACAGATCATCCGAAGTCAGAGGCTCTGCAGAAGTTACAGAATGATCGTATGTAAAAGTGCTAAATACGCACTGCGCGAAAGTGCCATGCTGCGTTCAAAGAGGATGGATGCCTTGACGAGAAGTGTCAGCGCCGACTGGCCAGTTACGTCGTCGTCTGCTGGCAAAGATTGCATCCCAGCAACAGAAGCCGCCTATAAGCAGTTTAGGTTCCGCAGTTGCATAGACAATGACGTCCTCACCGTTGGCCAGGGGGTACTGATCGGTGCACCATGGGGGATGAGCGAGGGCACGCCAGCCGCACACACCCAATAACAGTTCAAGACGACCACGCTCCAAAACGCGTTGTGCAGCTCGAATGTGCGCGCCCCCGACCGCACGATCGGGGCCGTGCGGCTGACACCGACCGGATCAACGCTCTCCTGCGATCCGCCAAGGAGGTGCAGGCGACCGGTGAGAACGAGCGACGTGGCCGCCGCGCAGTGCAAATGTCCCTCCGTCTGTCTCCCGGTCTCGAGGAAGTAGAGCGAGAGCAAAACTTCCGTTTGAATGAGACTGAGCATCTCCGGTGCCGCATGAGACCGCGTGCTATCGAGCTGGCGGGCGGTGTGTTCGGCTATCTGTGCGAGAATCTGGGTGATACGATAGGGCGATTCGGGCGGACGTGTGTGCGAGTTGAGATGGGCCCAGAGATAAACGATGTACCCTAAAGGTCGGAAGCTGTTCTTGAGTGTATGCGTGTCGATAAAGCAGAACTGAGTCGCTGAGAACTTGAGCAGGAAGTCATTCAGGCTGAGAGTCCAGTCATCAACAGAGCGTGGAACTCATTTTGTAAAGCTTACATATCCTGCGTGAGCTTGACGTCGATCTTCGCGTGGCGAGTCAGACTGAGATCCCATCGATCAAATGAAGCGCACGACTCGCCTCACTGTCGTCGTCATTGTCACCGTCATCGACTGACCGTCCACCCGTGCTCAGCTCCGTCGCATAGAGACAGGGAGCTCCGTCTCTGGGCGGATGTCGGCTGCATCGGGTACACACTGGTCGGAGCCCGTCGCATCCCTAAGTCCCCAAGTCGTAAGTGATCGATCATGCAGGCAGTCTAGACGGACGCACAAGCTTTCGGCGCCTTCGGACAACGCGCGTCAGCACTGTCTCCCAAAAGTGCACAGGGGATAGGGGAGACGCACTTGCAGTTGGAACACGATTTCTGGATGTAAGGACCCCGCGTTACACGCGTCGGATTCGCCTGGGCGCTCGACATGCTAGGTCACTGTCGCGGGCCGCTCTCGACATCCTGGCCTGGCTTAAGAAACATCGCCAGTCCCCCAATGACGCGGCACCGTCGACAGAAATGAGTCCACGGTCTTCCCTGGCCATTGGTCGACGGCAGGAGTAGCCCGCAGGCCCGAATAAACGTTGTGTTTGAGCTCCCGTTGTTTCGACTGTCCGGGGGTGTCGGCCGCGAGAGGGAAGAAATGATATCAACTGATTTGTTGCCTTCCTGCAGCGAAGTAGGCGCGATAACGCAGCTGCAGGTGCAGAGAGATACGTGTGGGATAGCAGAGGCTAATAGCAGAGCACAGAGCACGCGTCTGGGGCAGTGCTGACATGCGAGCGTAGTCCTGATGGTGGCGGAGGCATTTTGAGCGCCGGCCACGCTGTGAAACATGTGTGTACATTGACGAGGTTCTCCGTGTTGTCCGAGAGCAAGTCTATCTCGATTCTCAGTGCGTGAACACGAGCAGCCCTCTGTCTGTGATAATCTCATCTTGAGGTGACCCGCAAGGCCGGCCTTATCGTCGACATGTATCAAGTCCATTATATTGGTTTTTGGCCAGTGGATCGACGCGCCAATCTCGCGCTTGGAGATGTGAACTTGAGTAATGGGCAACGCGGGAGGAGTGAAGAGGTAGGATGGCGATGCAAAGGGAAATGATCGCATCAATCTTTGCTTACCGAAGCTTGCTCATCGCCTAAATTGCATGTACTGTCACTGCGAAGGGACTTATTTTTTTTCCGTGGAAAATGCGTGACAATCTAGAAGTCCGATTTTCACCGCTATGTTTTCAGACAAAATATATATATTGAAAATAGACTCCGATTTACAGCTCGATTTTTACCATGAATAGACATCTATTCCTCCCGAAAACAGAACTGTAAATAGATCATCTTTTTTTTGATCGATTCCCACTGGGAATAGATGTCGATTTTCACTGAAAATAGAGACAAAGAAAAGATGATCTTTTTTCACTGAAAACAGATTAAAACCACTGGAAGAATCTGTTGATTCCGGCCCCAATTTGCATCCCTGGCCTTGCAAAAGGCTACTGGATGCTACTCACAACATGCACTTTGGGGGGACTTATTTTTTTTCCGTAGAAAACGCGTGACAATCTAGAAGTCCGATTCTCACCGTTCTGTTTTCAGCCAAATTTGGCTGAGAGTCTGGCTGAAAACAGAACGGTGGGAATCGGACTTCTAGATTGTCACGCATTTTCCACAGAAAAAAAATAAGTCCCCCCAAAGTGATGTTGGAATCATGCTGCAGGACTTGTGCTGTGAATTGGGGCCAGAATCAACAGATTCTTCCAGTGGTTTTAATCTGTTTTCAGTG